AAAATACGCGCTAATCTTTCGTCACGGTGTATGGTTTTACTTCGATCAACATTCTCGAAAAGTTCAACAAGCGTTCAAAGCAGTCTGCAGATCGTTCACATTAAAAAAAGCCTTTTTCACACGATTTTTAACGTTTCGAATAAACGAAAACTCGAGAATTTTTTCTTCTAGCAAGCGAAATGCAGTGAATGACTTGGCTAGATGGAGCTGGAGCGCGCTTTTATTTTGAAAATCAGCAATAGTTTCCTAATCTGTCAAGTAGACCGTGATCAACGCGAGACCCACGAGAGACCACAAGAGCTCCAGGAGAAAACACAGAACTGAAAAGTGGCCCTTATGGCCGTTATGGCCCTTATGGCCCTTATGGTCTTTTTGGCCGCCTTTTTTTTGGTGGAAAATATAGATGAATTTCGTGTTTAGTTGATATTGAAGCCTACTTACTTGCCCAGTTCCGCATGAATTAAGAAGTTCCCCGCGCCCCTCCTTATCATGCTTCGTGACGTCATCGTGTTCTGGCTGCCCAGTTTATGTAAATGGCGCTCTCTCAAAAAGGAACCTATCATGCGCCTCTCACTACTTCAATGTTAAGTATGTTAGGTCTATGATCGATCAATATCTCACTATATACGGTATATAGAAACATGGGTCCGGATCAGGGCATCAGGCCAAATCGAATAGATCGTTTTCACCTGACTGCATCATTTTCTAAAATCCAAAACTAGAGAGCCATTAAAGTTTTTATCCTCATCAGGCACAAGAGCCGTTAAATTTATATCTGCTTACAATTTTAAAGCTCAATAGTGTGCTTGACACAAAGTTACGATCGCGTTTGTCAAAAAATCCATGCTTATCTCAGGATTTTTAGTCGCTTTAGAAGTTAGAGCATTAGGAAAAGTGCCTATCTAAATGCTTTTAGGTTAGTACAGATAACAAGTCGCCTAGATAGCCAAAGTAAGCTCAAGATGTTCACAGTTTTCTTCACACAGTATTTTCCGTCTGCCTTATTGGTGCGCCACGGAGGTACACCAACATGTGGGCTTCATACTGGGCTCTGTAAATTTCTGCGAAACATTCCGACGAATATCTGAAGTTTAGGGGAACGCACAGACCTAAACCGAACTCGGAGAAGTGTCTTCTTATTCTATAACATCACAATTTCTTGACTTTATAAACTAAATGGCTTTCGATTTATTAAGTCGTGAATGGAAAAAGGCAATTCTATATGAAATTTTGCAGTGTTAGCTCGGCAAATTTTAGCATGGGTCGGGAAAATCGTCGGAAAACAATCGTGCGTTTTGTGAAT